TGAGGTGAGTTGGGCTGAGAGAGAGGGACTGGCCCAAAATCACCCAGCCGGCTTTCATGCCCAAGGCAGGACTAGAATTCACAGCCTCCTGGTTTCTAACCTGGTGCCTTAACCACTAGACCAAACTAGCTCTTTTCAACTATACTGTAGAAATATAATTTCAAGCTGAGGAAAGCCAGAGGGTGAAAGAATGCTTTGTTTTAGGGCTGTCTGGAGAATGAAGAGGGAATGCAAAGGTGGGACTAGGGAGTTAGATATCTACTGAAGCCAAGGCAGACTGTGATTAAAATAAACAGGAACCAGAAAGAATGTTCTGAAGAGGCATTCTCAGAACTAGAAAAATAAATATTCCTTTCAAGAGCCTTCGATGCCGGAAAATATCCATATTCCCTAACTGTTGTAATAGGTAATTTTCTTGTATTATATGAGATCCCTACTGGTGATATAAGATTGCTTCTGTGTGAGGGGACCCCAAAAGTAGGAAGGAGAAGAGCTGCAGTTGATGTTTGGGGAAAAACAGACTTAGTTCCAAAGGGACGTAACTGTACATAGGAAGCATGTACAACTTCACCAGAAAACGCATAAGTAAAAGATATTCTGGATTAAGCCAAAAGGCCCAATGTCTTCAGCATTTTGTTCCCATACTGGCCAAGCCAGTGTGATTGGAAAGTCCAAGGACTGAACAGAAGTGCCATAGAACAGTGTTTCTCAATCTCAGCAACTTGAAGATATGTGGACTTCAGCTCCCAGAATTCCCCAGCCAAAGCTGATGAAATTGAGAAACACTCCTTTAGATCTCCACCAAGTCATATCAAGAGGTTTATTGTCTACATTTATATAAATCACATCCAGTTTTTCAAAAATGGTCCTCCTCACCCACCCAAAATTACCATACATAACTCTTGGTAAGTAAGAGTGTCAACTTGCGTGTCTTGGTGGTATATACTTAATCTTTCTCACATAAGGAAATACATAAACAATCCCTCCAGTTAGGAAAGTTACTGCAATGAGAAATATTGTAGCCTAGCTTTTTTTGCATTAATATGCTAGTTTTCTTGTATGTATTGGTTGCTCTGCTATTTCTACTTTATATAGAGGAGATTCACATTCTTTTGGAAATTACAGTTCTCTTCCAATATGGATGGATCTGAAGGTTATATAAAAGTATTGCAGTAACTGCATGAGCTCAGGGAGAACCAGGCTTAATTTTACTATATACAAATCCAGCCATACTTTAGTGCTCATAAATAAGGCTGGATGGGAATTGTGGGAGCTGTGGGTAGTACCCTGGCAAGGTAACAGGTTAGGAAGACTGTTGCAACAGGTTGGGGTGGAGGTTTTTGGGAACATGTTTGATTCAGCAGAAATAAGTCTATTGCAGCTCTTCTCACCTCCTAAAGATAGAATTCTTCCCTGCCTTCCTACAATAGAAGTCTACCTTTCTGCCTGTGACATCTGTGAAAAGAACGTCTTCTGCGCCATAGCATAAGGCCAGGCTCCTTGCGGAAGCACCTTTCTTCTATTGTTTCTACCTGCCCCACCAGCTCTAGTCAGAAATCATGCTCCAGGTCCCTTCTATTAAACAATGCCATCTTGTTGGAGTTGTGTAGCGCTTGTCCTAGGTGGAACAGCATCCCCCCATTGATTTGGATGGCATTGAAGACCTGTCTGTTTCCCCAGGCATTTGGGTTAGGGGACAGATGAGTTCTGCTACTACTGATGATGAATGGAGTCAACAGTTTAACCTTGGATGTTGAGGAGTTATGCTTGGTGGGTTTGTCTGTTTTAATCTTGCAAGCCACCCAGAGTAACTTGTATGAGATGGGTGATTATATAAATCATATAAATGAATAAATACACAAATTCCATGTGTGTACATATGGTGGGAGGTAGACTTTTGCAAATCCAATTAGTTTGTTGTTAACCTGGGAAGCAAAACACCAGAGCTTCATCTGTGGGTGGACATCAGAAAGGAAGAGATCAAAGCGATTAAAAAGACATAACACTTTTGGATTTTTAAAAAATAGCTTTTCTTTATAGCAATGTAGAGAAATAAAATCCCAGCATCAGAGAAGGATGCACGTGGGGGCTAGATCCTTAACAGGCGCAGATCAGTGAAGCTCTACTAATAGCAACACTCTCATTTACTCCTGTGGTGAGATCATTAAACTGAGTCTCAGGAATCAGATTTTGCAGGTTCAATAGAGGTTGGGGGAAGATTGAGTTCTGGTTGAAAACACTAGTTTGCATATCCTAATACCTTGCAATTTAGCCCAATAGGTTACCCAACTCAGTGCCAGTTAACTTTTTTTTTTTTAATCGCTTTGGCTTAATTCCATCCTCTATCTTGCTCAATTGAATTTTTCTCTCTAATGCTATCAGAGCAACCTCTACAGGCATTTCATTTAGCAAGGGAGAAATTTCATAATTCATAATCCAAACATTGTATTTCCCCTCCAAAGCAATGTCTAAGACATGCCTCTCTTTCTTCCTCTACAGAATGGAAAACCTGCTCAATGTTGCTGAACCTATAGCTCCCAGCATCCTTCCCCCATTGGCCATGCTAGCTGAGGCTGCTGGGAGTTGTAGTTCAATAACATATACAAGATCTATTGCATGTTTGTAGAGGACAGCTTGAGGGGAAGACATTGGCGCTGTATGCAGAGAAAAGATTTCCTCCGAGCTACTGAACATGCAATTGTGCTTCCTGATCTGACACAAAGGCCACATATCACTTCCCTCTTCCATTCTGATTTGGTATAATGATACTACAATGTAGCCAGCAAGTGTCACACTAATAGTAGTGTTCACTTATGTACTTATACGTTTCTGAATGTAGCATACTAAAATCCTACTTTATTTTCATTGCCGAACTCACAAAGCATAGAGGTGGGAAAGCCAGATCTTGGTTGCATATCATTCCATCAGACCAAGAAGCTTCTACTGCCTAGCACTAGGGATCAGACTAAACCTCAGTCTGTAGTAGCCCTTTCTTCTTCAGAGGGGCAACCAATTTCTTCCCAGACATTTCTAAGCATGATGTGAAGGAAAATGTCCACTGTTTTTCTATTGCAATTGGAATTTAGTGGCATGCTGAATTCTACCAGCTGTGATGATTCCACAGAATTTCCATATCAAAGGTATATAGTAATTGGTATAAGCTTCTGAATATGGATGTTCTTTTGATAGTTGAAGAATGGCCCCAATCTATCTCCTGTTTTCACTGCCACATTTTCCAGGAGAAAGTTCCATAATTTCTTGAAGAAATACCATAACGCTATTGAAGGTGTTAGGAAATGCAAGCCAAAAAAAAAATACTGCTTGCTACTTACAAAGGTCTCAACCATATTTGGCTTATAGTTGCGGAGGGTCTTTGCAGCAAAGAAAACATCCACCAACTTGTGACACCTGATCATCTCTAGGATCATGGTGCAGGCGCAGAAGGTACCGCTTCGTCCACCTCCATTCCTACAAAAGAAATAAAACACATGATGAAAACATAGAAAAATAGCCCAATAAGAACAGTAGAACAATCATCTCTAGCCTAGCATCAGGGAGGGAAGAGAAAAACAAGCAAAGGTAGATGTCCAGCTCTTCCATACTATCGTACAGATCACTTTAGGCTCACTGCAGAGAGATGGAATTAAAAGATGGGTCGATGCTACTCGCAAGACACAGGTAGTTATCCATCGTTCAAAGGATCCGAGAAAAGATGTAGAACTCGGGCATTCTTGTGTCACTCTTAATGTAATTTACCTGATCCTCAAAAACCATGTCATTTGAAAGCTTTAACAAAGGGCTCTCACCATAGGTCACTTTGTGAAGGGCCGCTTAGTCATACTGCCCAGCTCACAGAGACTTTTGTTCCACAAAGAGTAAAAGCCCGACTCCTTTATTGCCTCCAAAGTGTGGAAGGCACACAGGAATTACAATCGATCCCCACTGTCTTTGATTTTAGAAAAAGCAGTACGGCGCATCTCTTCATCTTCAATATTAATTGGCTTGACTGATGACTTTATACTTGATGTATTTGGAGCTATGCTTTGTATTTTTTTTTATGTAATCATTTATTTTTGTATTTGGCATTTTTCTCTTAATCTTCTTGCAGGTTCTATACCGGTAGACAGGGCAGGCTATAAGTCCAAGGAAGATTTAAAGAGAGCCAGTTTGGTCCAGTGGTGAAGGCACCCGACTAGAAAGCAGGAGACGGTGAGTTCCAGTCCCACCTTAGGCATGAAAGCCGGCTGGGGGACTTTGGGCCAGTCCCCCTCTCTCAGCCCAACCCACCTCACAGGGTTGTTGTGGGGAAAACAGGAGGAGGAAGGAGTATTAGGTATGTTCATCGCCTTGAGTTATTTATCAAAATAACAAAGGTGGGTTAAAAAACAAAAAAAAAAAAAAAAGCAAAACCCGTCGGAGCAATCCTGTGTCCGTTTTGTTTTGCTGTGGAAGAAGAACAATGAACTGGTATGAGTTTTGCTTAAATTAGTTCAGCGTTTATTCGTACGGTTCCCACAAGGGGCAGACTAGACTGCCAGATGGCCCATGCTCTCAGGAAACAATGAGTTCCCTTCCTGGTGATGCATAACGGAGTTAAACTTTCAACATAGCCGTTTTGAAAACAAAGAACCCTGGATTGCCTGTTTCGGATAAACTATGGTGGCTGGTGGCAATAGCTGGGAAATAATCCTTACTAAGAGATTAAATTGCTGAGCAAGCTTCAATCGAATGCTTAAACACATAGGAGTTTAAAGATAATAATAAAAAAAAAATAGAGGGAAGAGAATAGTTATACTGTGAAATGGCGAGCAATTTGTTAATGAAGATAATAGCTGTGAGCACTATTACACAGTTGTGGTAATGCAGCATATTAACCTTTCAGGAAAAGTATTACATAAATTGCAACACTGCATTTGTACTGGGCCAGATTTTTTACCTGTTTTAAGAGGACAGGATAGAAACCATCTCCAAAGATCAAAATATGGTTTGGGGACATTCCGAACACAATTTGGGATCTCACATTTGGGGTAGAGGCAAAGTTACCCTTGTTTAATATAGTCTTTTCCAACCTGGGCATCCTTCAGATCGTTAGTTATCAACTCCCAGAATTCTCCAGCCAGTAAGACCTTTGTTAGGAATTCTGGGAGTTAAAGTCCACATATCTGGAGACCTCCCGATTTGAGGAAGGCTGCTGTAAGTGAAGGTGGCAGGTGGTTTTCTTTTCTCTCTTCTCTCTTAACAAGAATAGCTAAACTCTTGAGGGTTGTTTTCTGACCTGGAAAACAGGTCAGAAAACATTTTGGCCAGTCCCTCTACTGCCATCACATTTCATCCAATATTAAAGCTAATCTCAGAAGGAAAGTTGGTTGTCTTTTTCTGGATTTGATCATACAGCTATTCCAGGACATTATTTTGAAGGAAAAATATGGGCATTTAGAAATGACAACTCCCCAATCAATCAAACCAAACATCTGTGCATGATATTATCACTGTCTCAAACTCCCAGAATAAGATTAAGCCACTTCAAGTGTTCCTGCTCAAGCACCTGTTTGGCTTTGTGTAAACTGGTGGGACCCAAGGAAAATTAGTTTCTCTCCCAGCAGCATACAGGCATGTTGCAGGCTTACGCTGTAAATTCTTCTGGGCATGGATTCCCATCAGACCTAATAAATCCTTCACACTTGATATAATCAAATTAGCCAGATGTATACAAGATGGCTGTTTATGAGCCAGAGACTCCTCTTCTCTCCCCCTTTCTTTCCTCAGTTCCTCACCCTCTGGAATTCGCAGAGATGCTGCCAAATTTTCTTTAGACTAATACACAACCTTAATTTGGCTGTTTCACTGCTGGATGCCCTTGTCAACTTGGAAGCCTGATTGTTCTCTTGGAGTTTGGATGTTGATGGACCAAAAATGAACAGCTGAAGAGCAACACAGTTATCCAGTTTTTCCTAAGATACCTTTTAAGATCAGTTTTGGCTGTTTTTGATCCCCAGTTGCAGCTGTTCACTTACATGAAGCTACAACCTGCTCTTTGATGCACTGCACAGTCCTGGGACTCAGAGAAGCCTTTCAAATTTCTGGGCAGAACTTGTGAAAACTTCAGTTAATGGGGTGAATACAGATACTGAGGAGAAAGGCTTCAATGCATAGGGTCACATCTCCTCCCAATTTAATTGTATCCATGTGCTAATGAACACTTGCACAGGGCATGTAGGATCCTCTGGTTTGGTTAAACAAAACAAACCTGGGTCACTAAATTATATATTAATTCAAGAACATGCCTTAGGCCCAAGCAATCTGTTTTTGCCCTGCTCCTCTTCCATTCTTCCTTTGTCCAGCATCCATGCTGAAATCATGGTTTATTTAAACCACAGTTTCCATTATATGCTAATCAAGAGGCTTAGGATTAATTTCTGCTTATTAACCAGAATACGATAGTAGGTTCATAGCAGGGCTTACCTTCTTGGCAGATCTTAATCTTCACCATACAAGAATCTCCAGGAGCACTGACATCAGTGACAACAGGCACAGGGTTTGCACATACACATTTACCCACCCTGCTATTTTAACCATTTCCATGTAGACTCTCTGCCTACAGAGAGTTACAATCTGTAGACCTTCATGATCCTGTATGAGTTATGTTTCTAACAATGCAGACAACAATGCAGAACTGACTTGGAGACATGAACACCACCTCCCCAGTTGAGAAACATTTGTTCTCCATTGCCCTCTTCCCCCTCAGTCCAAATGATACTTACAAACAATGCACAATGGTCCTGCCATTGCCACTCTCTCCCTGCCACTTCTCTACTTGGGCTAATAAATGCAGGAAAGACTTTTTAGAATCCGGAATATCTCTGTAGGCTGACCACCGCAGGTACTGAAAGTGCCGGACCATCAAGTGTCCTTCCTGTAACTAGAGAAGCCCTATTATTAGTTCTCTCTTGTCAAGAGTTTGCCAAAGTCAGAAGTCTTTAATCAACTGTACTCCAGGATGAAACACAAACTGGAATCTAACAGATATATCAGATGTCCATCTTCTTGCTTTTTATTCTAGGACAAAGATACACTAAGGGAAGACCCAAAGCTTTGGACTTAGTCCCCAGAAACCTCCTCAAATTGCAATTTTTATCAAGATGGAATATATAGAACAAGAGAATAAGCTTATTAACTAGATTTAGATTCAGTGTAAGAAATTAAATCAAATTTAGTTTTTTGTCTTGATTCTATCCAGGGTTGGGTTTTTTTAGCGGAGTCCCTAAGAATGTCATTCATGCAAAGACTCACTGGAGTCGGTTGCCCACACTCTTGCTCAGTGGTTCCCAGAGATGTATGGACTTCAACTCCCAGAATTCTTAGAAACGGCCAAGATAGTTGCAGAATTCTGGGAAGGGTCCATGGCTAGGAAATACTGCTCTAGAGCATTTGAATAGGCAAGAGTCCTGTATTTCAATCAGTTGCACATTTAGGACAGACAATAAGAGGGAGAAGGACTTGTTACACAGTAGTGAGCATTACTTCCTTCAAAATGTGGTAAACCTGCTCAGTTGAACTTCTGCCCTAAAATCCTACCCCAACAACTTCACTTACTTTAACAAGTGCTGCTTGTCAGCTGGGAATTTCCTGCTAAAATCTCTTTGTCTATGTATTTACAAAAGGACTTGCATTTGGCCACCTTTTCTTTTTCTTAAAAAAATTAAGTTAAGATGAGGTTGCCCCAGCTGTACCCATCTTCATTTACAATATGACTCATTGTTGGGCCTCAATCCAGTAGCTGCTAAGACAACTGGCTTAGATTATGTTCTAGCAGGGAGTCTGTGATGGGGCTGGTGATTCATGAAAATAGGGAATTTCCTACTTGGTACAAAATGAATCACAGCCAATTCTACTCAGGAGCTCAAACAATACCGCTCAAAAAATTTCAATTCTTTAGCTAGGAAAAAAAAAATCCTAGATCTGATGCATACATAACTAGCCAAGTGTACAAGCATATCAAGATTCCTTGTGTTTCTGGTGATGCTACATGCTGATAAGATTTAAAAAGCAATAATAAACAGAAGGAGAAAATTAAAGCTGTTCATGCATTCATTCCAGAATGAATTTTAGAGCATCAGCTGATTAAATTGGCTGAGATGCACAGGGCATTCATGGGGCATGATCAAAGAATGAAATGATCTGCTCTTACTTGGTTCTGAGTTATTGTTTCTTTGGGCTTATTCCTGGATATTAGCTCCACCTTGTACACAGACACACCCACAATCCCGTCTTTGGTATGAGAGCTATACCTGTTTCAAAAATGATTCGGAAGGGGTGCTTGCTCTTGCACGAAAGCCAGAAAAGCACAACCCTTTTAAAGCACTATTGTACTTGCACCCCCCCAAATTCCAAAGCACCTCTTCCAAACATTGTTGTGAAGCATGCACGGCCCTACTACATTTGTATCCAGCCAGCCGGCCATCTCCTGGCAGTCAATGACGGCTGGCTATTCGTATTCATTTGGTATTCACTGCATAATAATAATAATAAAAAAGAGAGATTGAAAGGGAAAGGAAGAAGGGATAAGGAAATGAGGCCCTGTAATACTTTCATAATCTAGGTAGATTTGCAAAATAATGTAGTTAGAGGGGTCTGGAATGAGGGGGGATTACGCACCCATAGCTAAGCGAGCCTAGAATTTAACAGCACTGGATAGAAAGCTCAGTAAAAAATCAGTGGGAAGGATGAAAATACAATGAGGCTCAAGACAGGTTTTCAGACTGACTCTCTGAGAGTTGCATTCAGGTTCTTATTAATGCCATTGTAATGAGCTGGGGCAGAAGAGACACCACGTTGAAGAGGTGACAATCAGCTACAGATTTCTGAGCAAACTGCAGTGAGATTTCCATCTCTGTTTCCCTGCCTGCAAGTGCTTGAAGAAGTCTTTCTGAATCAGGGGCTCTCTGGACCACAGTTCCCATAATACCCAACCAGTGTCCACCCTCAATATAGTGGCTAGAAGTTGTGTAAATTCTAGTCCAGTGTATTTGAAGAGCATTAGGTTGGATTAGGTTTTACATTCAACATAAAGGGAGATGCTTCCAGAAATGGTTAAATTTTTCATCCAGGGTTGTTCTAAAGCAAACTGCCAGGGTCAGTTTTCCTAGTCTAACACAAGACACAATTTTCCGCATTTTAAAACAAAAACAAAATGCATAAAACAAAATGCATAAAAACCAGATATTTTCATGTCCTTTGAAAACATCAACGTGAGATGGAATGGAGTGAACTAATTGACATGGGAATTAAGATAACTGACATGGTAAGAAATAGGGCTAATCTGGGAAGGTCCTAAAGGAATTTTGGCCTCTTAAAGACCTAAGAAGGGCCCTGCTGGATCAAACCAAGGCTTATCTAATCTGGCATTTTGAGTCACACAGCAGCCAACTGGCTGCATTCAGAACGTTTGTCAATCTAGGCAGGAAAGCATCTGCCCTGTTTCACAGTTGCTCCCAGCACCTGTATTTACAGATGCTGCTTGTGATTCTGGAGGTAGTAAACCATGGCCTGATCCTCGTGAATTCCTAGAACTGTAGAAGCTGGTGGTCTCTATCACTTGGCACTGATGAAATTACCTAGTTGGGTAATGAAACATCTGCAAGCAAACAACCAAGCTCAGGGAGAACCAAGAACTCCACATTATCACTTCTGACAGCAGCAAATATTATTATGTACTGAAGCTGGTCCATACATACAAAAACGTTTTCTTTTGCCTGCTCAAACCCTTCCTTTCTTCCAATCAACTTTATTAGATGACCCACTCTGCACCTTGTTTTTTGGGGGGAGGGGATTTCTTCCTGTCTACTTTCTCCACGCTATGCTTGATTTTATATACCTCCACTTTGAATTGGACTTGGAAGCCTATTGGCAACCAATATATTGACCAGAGAATTGGGTGTTACACATACCCAGTGTTTCTTACCTTGTAGCATATTATCCACTGCTTTCTGTCCCAGTTGTAGCCTTTGAGTCGAGTATCCCCATTCAGTCATTTCTTTTTTTAAGTTAAAGAATTCCAAATATTCTAGGGTGGGGTTGTTGTTCTTGTTGTTATTTTGTCATAAGGAAGGTATTTAAGCTCTCTAATCAGCCAACACTGCTGAGAATTTTGGATTGCTCTTGTGTTCTGATCACTGGCCATAACAACACCTGTCTGCTGTCTTACTTGCCTTCACTCCATACTAACTTTTGTCTACAAATGATAGTCTTTCCTCGTAGGGGAGCTGCTCTGATCCCACAGTGGGATTGCCTTTGAGACTCAAAGGCTACAACTGGAACAGAAAGCAGTGGGTAATATGCTACAATTTGATTTTATTCTGAAATCAAATCCCTTCCTACTCTCACATTAAAGAATTACAAGTGAAGAAGCCTTAAACTACAAGTCAAGAAATCAAGAAACTACTACAAAATGCAGTTGTTGCTGGTGGGAAGAGAAAAGAGTTGTCCCAAATTACTAAAGTGAAAACCCCTTTCCCCTTTCCATTTCCTTTTATAAGAAGTTTTTCTTTTTAAAAGAAAGAAAGCAGGTGCAGATCTATTTTTTTTTTTAAAAAATGCTCTCAAAACAGTGCAAAAGTTTAAAGCAAACTCACCCGTGTTATGTTCTGTACCCGGAAAAGACGGGCTACAACATCTTCATCAGTTGACCGAGATATGTATTCCACCTGCATTGGTCCATATTGCTGAAGCCCTGGCTCTGGCCAATATTGTAAACAAGGCTAAGAATTAAGGAACAAATAGTAGCATAAATACCTGGCAATATAACAGCTAGATTTACTCACCTAATAAACCATATGCAGTGCATTTGGTTTGGGGTTAATGTGCAAATTCAACCAGGGAGAGCAAAGGTAGAGGGGTGAGTTCAGAGTTTTAAGGTGGAAGAAAGGAGTTGATGCATGCTTTAGTGGAATAGACTCTTTCCCTTTCACCATTAAATCAGTTTTTTCTCCCCCCTTCCCCCAAACCTTCAAAGTTTGCCTACGCTTTTATGCATATTGGTTTACTCTAACAAAAAATAATCCCTGCACTGTGGAATCGAGCAATGCTTACAGTACTTTGTTTTCATGTGCAGTTTTAAAAACCATCACTCCTTCCTGCACATACCCACTTCTAGTCCCCCTTTCTCTAAATAAATAAACCTCGTCTGTTTTTCTCAGAGGGAAGCAATTCAGTGAAGGCATCCCTTTCAGTCAAGGTTTGTTTTCAGCCAATTCCACCTAGGTTACATCAGGACAAGGTTTAATACTGCTCTGCATTAAAGTGGCAGGAAACAATCACTGATAGGAAGGACTCTTGATATCACTCATCAGGCAGCCCAACTGATGCATTGTCTGCTTTGGGCATTATGAATGAGATTGTTTTTAGACCAAATTCAGCTGTAAATCTTATCCATCCCAACATATAACCCTTTATTCAGGACTAGGCATGACTCAGCAAGAGAAAATTGGTCCACTGAAGTACACAGAAGTCATAGCCATTATAAAGGTCCTTGCTCCAAGGTTCTAATTCAAGGCTTTTCCCTCCTGCTTTTTTGAGTCAATGGATGCTTGCCTGTTCTCCTGATGGCAGTGGGAGGGAACTGATCTACATGGACAGAATGATTCTCTCTAGCATAAAAACTGCTGTTCTTGCCTCACCAACTTCATTCCTTATGGCAACTACCAGGATGGAAATATCAACACAAAAAACAGTGTTTGTCACTGCACTTTTACCACAACATTTAGCTTTTCAGGCCATCCAACAGTTCAGGCCTCGCTGGATAGCAATTGTATTTGCATAATAATTGGTTATTAATGGGAGCTATAAATCTCTGGCATCATGATGATTTCCAGACTCAGAGAATAATTTGGGTATTACAACTTCCTCCAGCGAGACATGGTTCAAGTGAGGGATAAGCCCTCTAAGTCGCCTTTCCAAAGCTGTTTGCAGATTTATTGACTGTTGTAAATGTTTTAAGATCTGGCTGAAACAGCACTAGGCACATATCCCCTAAAGAAGCAAGTGTCCAGTGTGATGAGCAGAATAAGATAACAGAGAAACAGAGGCGGAGTTGTATTGAGACCACAGGGAGAGGAGTAGGATTCTGATGTGGTGGATCATAACCGTTTGTCTGTTTAAATTAGTCCATTTTCTGGGTTTGAATCATAAACTAATCAAACAGGCTGAACTCACACAATGTGTTCTGCTGCAAAAATGCACACTAAGGTTAAAAATAACCAATCTTAGCATGTTGTACAGATCCAGGCTGAAAGTTTTTAATTGATTTGGTTAAGTGTGCTATACAACTCTGATTGTGAAGAACTGGGAGAACCAAAGCTTCTTACTTAGGATGAAAGTAGTTCTGCTTCTCCTCTCTTTTCCATTTAAGCTCCCCCAATTCTTAGTTTGCCCTCTTGTAACAGAGTTCACTGCTTGGATTTCCCTCTGTGTCAATTGCTTCCAGAGTTAATTTCACTCCTGAATAAACTCCTTTGGCCCTGCAGTATTACTAGACCTCCCTGATATGGTAGCACTGAGAATAATGTTTATTTTCCTGTTCTGTTTATTAAGCACGCAGTGGTCCTCTTTAACTCAGCAAGCAAGACTGACAAAGGAATGCTCATCTTCACCCAAAGGGGGTCCTTTAATTCATTCATCTCCTTATTTCAATATCAGTAGTACAACAATAAGTTGGGTCATTGGCACTGGAAGTGTCTGATTTTGACTCATAAAATAATCCATTTAATGAATATGTCCATTAAGAGTCTACAATATTAATTTTATGTTTTCAAAAAAAATCAAGCAAATTAACATTATAGACTTGTAATGGGTTCGTAAAACTGCCATGAACTCAACAAGAATGCTTTGAAGGTTTAGAGGGAGAATCAAACTCCCCAAATGCTCCATAGTTTGAAGATCTAGGTACATAATTTATAGATAAAAAAAAAAAAAATCTAAATCCATAGGATGTTTATGCCTGTCTTTGCCATCCTGGAGCCCTTGAGCATCAATTCCCAGAATTCCCAGAAGGCATGGTCATTGCTGAGAATTCTGGGAGGCAGTCTACATATTGGGAAGGCAGCAGGTTGGAGAAGGCTGCATTACCTTTTTATAATGGCACCTAATGTCACTTAAAATCACGCATGCTTAATCCCATTTAGACACACATTTCTTGCAGCAGCCCTTCCACCCATTGGTTGAGCAGGCCATTCCGCTCCCAGAATGGTCTTTGTTGGTCATTCAGTTGCCAGCTTCCAGCTTAGTGCACTGTGCAAACTCAGTCATCTGTGATTTATTCAGCAAACCATAATGATCTGAGAAGCAAGTCACTGAGGCCTCTTCAACGGACTTACAACGGCCAAATACCATTTAGCTGTCCTCCCACAAAACTATCTCACACAGTAGCCCTGGCTGATTGTGCTTTGCCCAGCATCCTTTTCTTTTAACACAATAAATCTAGAGTGACTGGCTGTGACTGTTCTTTAACACTGAGTGCACGACTTCCATTGGCTGGAGGGCAGCATCAGCATCTGCACAGCACGTTGATGGACACATTCCAAAAGTTGCTCAGGCCAGACTCAATTCTGAGCTATTTAAGGAGTGAAAAAGGAGTCTTAAGCCTATGCTGCTGCAAGCATTCTGCCTTTAAAAGCCCCAACATCTAAAGAAGGAAAAAAGACCAAAAAGGCAACCATTTTAGAATCACTCTGAGGGCATCTTGGGCCACAGAAGAGGTGATGGTAGATGGCACATTTTGCATCCCTAACTACCAAAGAAAGATAAACTGATACAATGCTGGCTGGAGATTCCAGGAATTACTATCTCAACACATCTAGGTTGGAGAACATTCTTATCAGGCTATTCCAGTCCCACATCATTTAACTATTTCATCCCATCTTTTCTCCTTGTTTTAGTTCAGTGGATCTCTCTTACTTACCCAGGCAGAATTGGACTGGTTGAGCTGGTTTAGCATAATAATGGAGGTGCAGCCATAGTCATACACCAACCTCCAGAAATCTGTTGTGGTGTTCTGTAGGGGGTGCAAGGTTACAATGAAAGCAGCACTCTTGGTGTAGCTCTAGAGGAGAACAAGAGAGATTGGTAAAAGCAGGTAGGAAACAAGGACTGAAACAACAACCCTTCAGTGGGCATTGCAGTGTTTTTCAACCTCTGCTACTTTCAGATGTATGGACTTCAACTTCCAGAATTCTGGGAGATGTAGATTTTCCTTCACTCCCCAAAAAGCCTTGATGTTTCATAGCCAAAGGGATTATCAAGGCTGCCCAGAAAATAACTTATAAAGAACATGAGGCAGTTCTAATCCTTAATTTATGTTTTCTGCAGGGGCACAGAGGCATAACCGGACATTTCCCAAGGTCCATGTCCATGAAAGAGGCACTTTCAATTACGCAAGCCATCCAGCCTTCTTGCTGCTCCCCCTGGCAGTAATTTCTACATTCTTTATTCTCGTTCCCTCTTAAAGGTGGCAGAAATTTACAGTAATGCTGGGCAGAATTTCTCCTGACATTCAACAAAAGGTACATTTCACTTTTTTCAACTGAGACATTCTCATTGGTGCAATGTAGTGCTCCTTGCACTAAGGGGGGGGGGGATAATCTGTCATTAATTTGACAGCAATTTGTGCCCAGCTTTAATCTGAAAGGAGACCAAAGGAAAGAGACAATGAGGAAAAGGCAGGATTTTATCCAGGGCAGGGCCCACTGAGAACAGTTTGCCAAACCACCACTACCATCACACATTTACACCCAAAAAATCCATGGAAGCAGCATTTACTATCAGTTAGAGACCTGAGCAATCCTGCCCTGGCTTGTTCAGCATGGAGGTATTTTTTATGGTTTCTGCTGTTGGAATCTGTGCTGTTATGTTTCATTGTAAAACTGTAATTTCATGCCTGTAGCAAGTTGTCTACCATCAAAAACTACACTGCCTTGCTCCAAGGATGGAGATCCACTGTAAATGGAACTAAACTGAGGTGTAAACAGGAACAGAGTTATGAAAGGGTCACATTTCCATGGAGGATTTTACCCACGGAGTCGGACAGCTATAACAAATTTGAATGAATGAATGAATAATTAAAATTTCTGCCAAACATTATACATTCACGCATACAGGCAATATATACATCTCAACTTTTTAGTATCACATCCAAGGGGAGGGAGAAGCACACTGTCTGCTCTTGGTTCTTTTTCTAAAATTCTGTTAACCAAAATCAATCTATCTTTGATCGATGAGCAAATTCTTAATTGTCATACAGTCAGCCTGCCTTGTAATTCCTGCCCTGTGAATGGATGGGGGAGCCATGCCATAAACACATACCTGTAGCACAGGCAATTCTAAGTCTTATTTCTAACAAATATTTTTTGGAGGAAGAAGGGAGAAGATATCTTGGGGCAGGGGGGAGGAAGAGAAAAACCACGAACTTCAAGGTAAAGACTTTTCAGAGCTTGTTAGCTCTGCAGAAAAAGCAAGTGCTTTTAGGGGCACCTGCAGAGATAGAGAGAGCAGACAATCGAGGTTGTTAGTGCTTTTATCCTTTAGTTCTTTGACTTCCTCAAGAGTCCTTGAAACAACATTTATCAGCTCAAGAGACCAGATACACCGCACTTTGGAAGCAACTCCCAACTTTTCAGCTTCTCTGAAACAATGCTACTGTTCTCTAACTCTTCTTTACTCTCTTTGCATCCTACTTCTTTCTTAATGAACATTGTGACCAGAGCCAGATCAAGTCTGGTGGGTTCTGGATTAGCTGGCTACACTGGGCCTCCTATTTGGCCTACAGAACATTGTGCATGTATCCATATAAGCACTAAGAAAACTGATAAATATTGTTTACTGCATATTTTAGTGAGAAATATTTTCTGCTTACTTGCCTTCTAGGGAGAAATCAACAATCTGGGAAAGCAAACCAAAAGGAGGTTTTAATAAACCAGGAAGTCCCTTCTGCAGACACATATTTAAACTTTGATTACCAAAACGATCAAGACTTGAAAATCTTCCTTATGAGAATATGTTAGAAGATCTGGGATTCTTTGGCTTAGAAAGAAGTTATTTAGGGGAGACATAATCTCTACCAAACATTGTGCACAGTATATAAAATGTTCCTGCATGGTATAAAAGACATGGCTAGATAAATTGTTTCTCCCTCTCTTAAAATACTAGGACTAGGAGCCATCTAATGAAGTTGATTGGAAGGAGCTTTAGAAGAGAAAAAAGAAAGTAAGTTTTATACAGCCCATAATTAATGGGTAGAAGTCATTATCACAGATACGGCCGTTAATCTGGATGGCATGAGAAGGGACCTGGATAACTTCACGTAAGACATCCTATCAATGGCTATTAGTCTTAAAGAATCAGTGCTATCTCCAGGTTGGGATAATATGCCTCCAAATACTACTTGTAGAGGAACAACAGGAGAAAGGTATGTCTCCCACCCCAGAGCCATCTGCTTGGCCACTGCAAGAAACAATATGCTGAAGTAAGATGAACCTTACCTAATCCAACAAGGCCATTATTTTTATTAGGTTTGCTCACCAATCATGACTGCGTTAAAAGCAAAAAGTTAAAAGTTGGTTAAAAGCACTGAACAGTAGGAGCTTTAGATGACTCAGATGAAGGTAGGAGCAATTGTTTAGATGACTGAGCAAAATCATGATTGTGTCTCAATCATGATGGCCATAGGAGAAGAAGTAGGTTTTTTAAGACTGTGGACAGGGCTGCTGTCTCTTTAGCCTTATAGTTAATCCAGACCTTCTGGGAAATATCCACATATTATACATTTTTGAAAACAAATGTTTCTAAAATCTAAAAACTGGGCATGCCCTAATAAAGTAGGCAAGGCCAGGACAATAACTGAAGCTGATTTGATTTAATCAAATCAAAATTAAATGCAGCTTATATGACTTCTTCATGCACTTAATAATTGTTCAGTTTAGTGACATTAAAAATAGTGTTTCATGAATAAATTTTACAGATACTCAAGGCACCCCTTCCTAGATCTAGATTTACAATAATGCTCCATTAAAATACCCATGAATGAAATAGTTGCCCTCTGTTCAAATACTTTTTAAAAATACTGTTTTTAAAAGAACCAGGGTAGAAGAAATAAGGCTCTGAATAGATTCTGAAGGAGAGTCTTCCCTCACTGAATCAGCCTAAATCAAATCCTGATCAAATCATTTCATGCTCTGATGGTAAAAAAAAAAAAACTAGAAAAAACATACAGATGAAGCTCTTCACTCTTGACGATTCAGTTTCCTTTGGAGCATTACATAGTGACAGACTTTCAAAGTGAATGCTCCCCTTCTACCTAGTAAACAGGCACTTCCTTGGTTAATTGAAAGAGGTCATTGGTTATTTTAGGCAATCTAACTTTATTTGGCCTTACTCTTACCTGGAAGCTAATATATTGTTTGTTTGTACGACACTTTGGCACAAAATAATACAACGAGTCATATTGTCTAGACCCAAGAATAGTATCAAAATGGACTCATGTACAAGAGTTTCAACAGAGGTGATGATATCATCTGAAATTCAGAACAGGGACTGTCCAACTCAAGAGGAAGCCAAAAGAAAGCATAGAAATGGCTTTCTAAAATCTCAGAGAGTCACTGCTGGTCAGCATCACTGATACTTGGCTATATGGGGCAATGTTCTGAGTTAATATAAAGCTGCTTCCTACATTCCTCTAATTGCCAAATTACAAGTGCAAGGAGCTCCAACAGCGACAGATGCTGGAACTGTAATTGTATAACATCTAGAGCAGTGTTTCTCAAACTTGGTAATTTTAAGATGTATGAACTTCAATTCTGCTGGCTGGAGAATCAACATGATGACTGGGGAATTCTGGGAGTTGACGTCCACACATCTCAAAGTTGCCAAGTTTGAGAAACACTGATCTAGTGAGTGAGCAACCTTTTGATAGCTGGGGGCACACATTTTTGGAGAGGATGAGGGTCACTGTGGTGAGGTTAGGACAGACCTTTTGCACTAGCTGTTGAATGCTCAGACATTCAGGAAGCTAGACAGCATTGCAGGGAACTGGCAAGTCAAGGGGAACTCAGTTTGCACAGTCCCTCTTTTTGTTCATTTCCTGTATGAATATGGGGAATGAGCAAAAAGAACTGATAGACACTACTGATTTGCTTCCTCTGCCTTGTCCCCATTTTCTACCAGGCTTTGCTACATGTTCCTAAGAAAGGAAGGCAAGGGCACTTCTCACTTCAGATGCTGACAACTCTTTTTCCTTTGGCAATGTTAAAAGCATTCCCAATAATACTGGTTGTTCTTTTAGCCTGTCTACTTGAAAAAGGAACTTCTGTGGTTTGGAAGGAAGGAAGGAAGACCTTCAAGGGACGGTGCCAGCAGGCAACAATAATAAAGAAGGGACTTTAAATAAAAGACATGGGCCAAATGACCAAAATTAAAACTCAAATTATCAAAGGACTGAAATTGAAAACGAAACTGCTAAAGTATCAAAACTGACAAACTACACTGCATTAAAAATACCAAGGGACAGAATAGTATTTATATAGGAAGAAAGCAAGTATTCTCTAGGGCTTTCTATTCCTATGGCCCTATGTAGGATTTGGAGAGACTCATGGCAAAATTCTTGCAAAATACTACTGCTCACCATTGTCAGTGGATCCATCAAAAAGCAGCACTTGCCCATAAGGCAATTTGTCCTACATTCTAAACTAAAGGGAGGTACAAGGGCTGGCTTCTGTCAACACCAAGGCTAAGATGTAACCAGGAAACCAACTATAAGGCAAAGATGGGATCTAAGTGCCAAATGTTAAACCATATGCCCCGACACAGGACACAACAAAATATTAATTTGATAGGAAACTACCTGGCGAGGTTCAGAGAGGTACTGATCACCAGTCAATTTCATTCGAGTAAAAAAAACAAAAACAAAAAACTGAAATTATCCAGCTAGGTGGCAGCACTTAGCCAACTGTGGCTAAACTGAGAAAACTGCAGGCTTTATGAGATCAGCCAGATTGGCTAACAAGGGCAACAAAACTACTAGTTCAGGCTGACTTTTTTCCCCTGATGGAAGTTTCACAGTGATTTTCTAAAGGAAACTTTAGGTAAAGCTTTGAGCTTTTTATATTTTTGCTCCTAAAGCTTTGTCTTCCAAACTTTTTCTAAGTCTTGTAAAACTTTTCTTTGGATTCTGCTTTCCCAGCATCCAGTCTTGGAACCTAACTTTGCAGGCTAAGGTTGCTGTAGGTACTATAGATGGGCTTGGCCAATGACTTTCCCACCCAGTCCCTGCCACTGAGGAGATGCACTTACATCCGTTAAGGCCGCGTTGATGTAGTTGTTGCTGTCTCCGTCCATGGAGATCAAAAAAGGGAGGCACCGGTCTGGAGGCAGCACATCCATACTCCGATTCTTTTCCCGATTGCGTGGTAGAAGGGCAATGCTGCACTCCTCCACATCCAGGTGGGGTGTTACAGAATTCAGAGTCTGCTGGACACGAAGAAACCAGGTTAGGCAGCATTTTATAATCTTATTGGGAGATGAAATGTATTACTACAGCTATACACTCTTTATTTTAAAAGAAGAAAATTATTATTCAAAGTCTTAGGTGATCTAGGAAAGGCTGCAGCTCAAAACATATGGATGAGTCTTCCAGGGTCGAACTTAAGAATAGGCCTGCTGTATCAAGCCAAGAGCCATCTCAGCCCAGCATTTTGTTCCTCATCATGGTCAACTTTATGCTTCTGGAATGCTCACAGGTAGGCAATGGAGACATACCCTTCTCTCATTGTTACTTCCCTGTAACCCTTCTCTCATTGTTATTTTCCTGTAAGTGGTATTTGGAATCATACCTCAGGGGAATTCATGAACATTGTCAAGAGCCCTTGATTCAAGAAAGCCTCCAATTTTCATTCACTCACCTGGAATTCCTCCCGCAGCTGGGATGAGTTGCTCTGTGGATCTATCCTAACCATCTCTTTGTATGTAGGTCTGAACTCACTGATGGGGATGCTGGTTTCTCCACAAAGACAGGCTTCCAAGATGGCATCATGGATGAAGACATATTGCTCCTTTAGTATGAATGAAGGAATGAAAGTCTTGTTAAGGACATAAGCATTGCATTATTCACATATCACTTCTAATCAAAGTGATCAAAATGGCTTAAAGCAGACTTGAAAACAGCAATTGGAACTGGGCTGAATAATCCTGAAATCAACTCTGGTTGCAACACGTTTCCTTCCCAAAAGATCATTTGGGGCCATCCTAAAGACCTCCAAGGTCTTTTTCAACCCTATGATTCTATGAACAGTACCAGAACAAGCAAACCCAATACATAAGTGGTACTAGAGGGGAACAGGAGAGAAATATTCTTTTCTCCAGACACATATTTCTCTTCTCCCCACTGGATCCCCTTGATCACTTAAACACCCTACGGTAGTGGGCTGTCTGTGGTTCAACAGACATTCTGTGAGAGCTGGATCATTGTCTTAGGCCATTCTGAATAACGTTTAATTGGGAGTAGCATATCATGGGAACCCAGCACTTGTGTTTGGTTAATCTGGGTTATACCAGCTTCTTCTGCTTCTCAGGTATGGCTGATTAGGATAGGGAAGCATTTACAGCAGTGACAGAACAGACACTACATAGGATAAAAGATCCAAAGTATTTCCAATTAAAACTGGGAAAGGCCCTCATCAGAACTTGTAAAGTCTTTTGTCTAGCTCAGTGTTTCTCAACCTTAGCACTTTAAGATGTGTGGATTTCAACTCCCAGGATTCCCCAGCCAGCATGGCTGGCTGGGGAATCCTGGGAATTGAAGTCCACACATCTTAAAGTTGCTGAAGTTGAGAAACACTAGTCTAGCTAGTAAAGATACAAAGCTACATGGACTAGAACAGGAGCCAAGGTAGAACAAATAAAAGATCTTGAAAGGAAAGAATCTTAATTTAATTCATTTACTGCAATGCTGTTTTACTAAAGTTCTGCCCAGTAAAACTGCTCCTGAAATATTATGGAATCCAACTGTTCTGACTGTGCCACAAAGAATACATACCAAGCAACAAAGGAGGCTTTCAAACGTACCTGGAACAATGTACTTTACCCCACCTCATCCCAATAAACTCACTTCAGTCTGAATCATGTTGATTCTCCGTGAGCACAGAGTCTTCACACAATTGTAAATGTCTACAACTCCTTCACACTCGGCCATATCCAGCATCACATCCAGGACAATGTAGCAGCCTGTCCGCCCAGTGCCAGCACTGTAGAAGTTTGAGGAGGTGTGAGAAAGAAGAAGAAACATTTTAACTGTCAGAACTGTTGGAAATGTGGAAATTCCTCTATAATTGCTTCATGAATTCCTGTGAATTCATACATTTTTGATGCCCTTTTCCAGATATAAAAGTTTTAACCTTTGGAAACTTAATAGAGTCCAAAAGTTGGAATATATTTCAGATTCATCAGAAGGCCTACCTACTAGAGTTAGATTTAAGGCTAAGTCAATAGAAACATCTCTTTTGAAAGTATTGCAGTGCACAAAAGACATTATGGAAGAGAATTTCCAATCAAGGGTGAGTGGGGAGTTCAAGCACTTATTTACGGACAAGGTATGCCAAAGTTTATGTCTGAATGTCCTATCTTTTATTGTAAGATGCAATCCTCTCTCCAGTGATCTGCAGTCTTCCTGACTGCCCTTTTGTCCATTAAATCTCCAGGAGACATCCTTAGGGAATTCCTCCCATTAGATTTTTTTCAGTAGTGGTATTGATGTCATCATGAGTGAGGAATCCTGGTGTAGAGTAATTGTTGGAGACAGAGGTGTCTGGAGCAAGCCATGAATTCAACAGAATGACAAAACAAGTATGACATCATGATGCAAACTCTGCCCCTTTTGTAGTTATATGCAGTGTTGCAATGCTGATGCAAAAGGGGTGGAATTTTCATCCCTTTTGTGATATGACAATGAACTTTTCATCATTTGCCTCCCATTGTTCTCTCTGTTGACATCCCCAGTTGGATATATTTCTTGGAGCAAATTCAGAGAAATCCCCACCTGGTTGTTCTGCTCACAGATTTAGTGCAGAATTTCATCATTAGTATTGGTATCCAGATCTAGCTTTTTCTATTATGAAAGACATGGCTGGCTGCAGAGACTGGCATCCCTTATGTGGAGTGCTGGCCTCACCCAGTGCTGATACGCATCTCCCCACACCCTTCTAGAGAACAAGGGACTCTCCAACTGTAGAAATGCCCTCAAGCCACAGAAATGCCCTGATCCGTGATTCTACATTATGTGGTGAGCCCAACCAATACTTCTTTCACCATAAACAGCAAACAGAAGTTTTCTCCCCACACAGAACAGCCCCAGGCTAAAACAGATCTTTGGTATTTATGTACAGAAAGAATCACATCTGTTAGAGATTTTTAAAAGAATCCACTGTAATGCTACCTAAAACAGCCTTGCTCTCTCTTAAAGGAAACTTGCCTGTAGCATATGGTTGACTCAGGTTTCTCTGGTTAGAAGCCCCACCCATCGAAGTCATTAGCAAAAGTCTGAATGTACCACACCCATCTCCCCTTTTCCACTGTAGATTTAAAACCCTCAAATATACTAATTTCTGGGGCTGATGAATCACTTGCTGTGTTTCTCAATGATTGCATGCTGAGGAAACTAATTATACTTGTTGTCCCTGATGAATGAATACTGATGAAGCAATTGGAGGCCAAAATAAAAAAATATCTGTGTTTCATTGTGGGAGGAAATTCCCCAGCTTTCATTCATCAGTCCTTTCTTGTTATCTAGCCCAGGAAGAACTATGGAGCAAAAAGTTACACAGAATGCCTCCAAAGCTCAGCTTAACATTTAGAAAGGAGAGATTCCACATTGTGCATACTGTATGAAGCTTAAGACTGCTCTTAAAGCAAAACTTGGAAAGTAGGTGTGATGTCCTTCCCCACCATGTCGGAGGCTTATGGAGCAAATTAGGGCATATACACTGGTGTGTGGCTAATTATAAGATAAATAAGACAGGTAAAGAAGCCAATGCTTTGAAGCCTGGGTTCAGACATGGTACGTTCCTGTAATAATAATTAAAAGCACCACAACAGAAACTGCTTCCTACTATGCCCATATCTGAACACAAGACCATTGTGAGGGTATGGGGGAGTGACCTTGGGAGACTGGGTGAAGAGATGCTGTCTAGGGAATGGTCAGATAAGAGACAGCACAGCCCACAGCTGCATAGTGGGAGGAGCAAGAGGCTCAGGAGGAACCCTCCCTAAGTTAACAGGGCTGTAAATGTGACGGCGGGAGAATTGTACTTTCAGACTTGCAAGATTCTGTTAATGTAGCTTTACAATAAAGTAGAATTAGCTTATCTGGCCATGTTTCCTGTCTGGTCTACCTAATAAGGCTGACATCAATCTTGCAAGTCTGAAAGTACATTTCTCCTGCCATCACCTTTATAGCCCGATAACTTAGGGAGGGTCCCTCCTGAGCCTTTTGCTCTTCCCATGCAGTTGTGGCTGTGCTCCCTCTTATCTGACCGTTCCCTAGGCAGCATCTCTTCACCCGGTCCCCCAAGGTCATTCCCACATACCATTGCAGGTAGTCCCCAATTTAAGAATGAGTTCCGTTCCCAAGGTATGTCCTTAAGCCGAATTTGTATGTAAGATGGAACAGTATTGCTGTATAAGTAGTACTGTGTATTTAACTCTAATTTTGCTACAATAAGCTCTGTCCTTAACTATGGGTCTGTAACCCAGGCGTTCTTAACCCAGGGACTACCTGTACAATCATCTATCTTTCTATCGACGTGAACCAAGGGTTGACAATTGTTTATATGTTGAAAGATATGCACATCAGCTAAAATGTTCACCATATTCTGGGTTGCAGGCAGGGGTATCCATGGGTGGAGGGGGGATTTTAAAAAGTCAAGATGGCGGTGGGAATAAAAAAGGGGCATGGTCTCAATGACATGGCTGTGGCCTCCATCTTTTTGACCCCCTCTTCATATATTCCTAGTTGCAGGTTTTCACATATTCAATTTCACCCTTTGCGGGTGGAGTTTAAAAAATGCTACTCTTGTGCTGAAATGTGACTCTCTCTTTTTTTTCCTACTAGTTCTCATTCCATTTGATTAGGGTGAGTTTGTCCTTTGACATTTCATTCAAAGGAGAAGCACATTTCAGAGAAAGTACCACAGATGCAACTGTTTGTTTTTTAAAAGCCTTCGTTTAATTGTACCACAGTCAACAAAATATGGCACATTTAAAAATCGGAAAGCGAAGTACACAAAAGCGATGCATAAATTCCTGTGTATTTGGGGAGTATATATAAAGACATTTGTAATCTCAAATAGTGATATAAAACGTTTCTATACAAAAAAATATTTGCACAGATGGAGGCAACTGGGAATACTTTGCTGTTGTAACTTAAAAACTGGGGATCAAATGTGAATAAAACAATTTTGAATTAATGGATTGTTGCTTTGTCTTAATTTTTTTTTTCCAATCCTATTTTCTACACTTTTAAGAACCACTGATCCAAGGAAAAATGTACTTTAATTTTCCAGTGTTTTGCTATTGTCAATCTGTCAGCCAACTATACAAGTTTAATTAATTTCTTGTATTGCACCATTTTATATGTTCTGGAGAAAATGGACCATAACATTGTACTGCTGTGGTTTTTTTTTGCTCCCCCACCCCACTTCCTCTAAAACTTTCCATTAAAATGCATAATTAAATGGACAATGAATGCCACTGGAGATGTTATGTACCAATTAGATTACAACCCCCCCAACACACTCTAGAAAGACTATGGTTAATATATTACAATTCTAAGAGGGTTAATACCATCTATCAATTATTTTCATAATGTATTCTTGATGACTTATCAAAATACATTTAAAATAATTTGATTTGGTAAAGAGTTCCAAGCCCACTTCTCATACTTTAAGATTTTCAAGAGAGCCTCTTATAATTTATCTAAGAGTTTTATATAATATTGGAGAACTTCCTTTGATTTTAAATCACATTAACATTGCTAATGTTCTTGAGGGTATGAGCTTGTGAGCATAAGAATTTTTTGCACTTGTTTCATTCGAAACTAAGTAAGAACTTGCAACAAATTCTTCTGCAAAATATCTTCAGCAGAAATAAAGTGTCTTTCCATAATCCATCTTCTAATCCTATAAAGATGTCTATTTTCCCATTCCTTGATCATATTTATCCATGTTTAAAATGTGGGTGATCAAGAAATGGGAAGAGAGGAGAAGCATGAAGGGACAGAATTTGCTCCTACCTTTTCCAAATTTTTATCCAATGAGAATTGGATATACGCTAATAGATATTAATTTCTTAATATCAGGGAGGGACAGTATTGCCCAAATAGAATGAAAATCCAACACTAATGCAATTTGTATCCACTGAATGTCTTTTGAGTTCTGAATAAAGTAAGTTAGTTATTTTAACTGAAAAGCATGAAAACAATGCCTAACCTTTGTCTTATTTTTCTGGATGCTAGTTTTTTATCATTACTTATACACAACTATAGACATCTGCAAAAATCAATAAATTTATATTATTCTTTGCCATCTAGAAAATCAAGTAATAGAGAAAGGATTTGGAAGTATTTGAAACAAATACAATTTGCTGAGAAAATAATTGTTCTAGTTGTGGCTACAGTATTTGGCCAAATAATGATAAAGATGTTGACTTAAATTCTGCTTTGATCTTTCACAAGAGAGGACTACAACTATATTTAATTAATAACAAATCTTTCTAATAATTACTCCCAAGTATTAAATCCAACTGGGCCACAGTGAACTCCATTAGATATTTGGAGAGATTCTTGCAAATTTTTATCCATCTTGATTAATATAGCAGCCTATTTCATTGTGACATTTCATTGTGTGACATTTTGTTGTGTGATCATCTTTCCCATAGCCTGGATTTTTCCTGTTTCCCATACTGCTACTGAGTCCCAAGGGAAGAACTCAAGAACTTTTCCCATGGCCCTTTTTCAAACTAGGAATTATGAGCATCAAGCAGAGAGACTTTAGCATAAAACAAAAATATATCACAGAGAAAAGAACTAAACATTGCATCTTCCATATTCATCTCTTTTGAATGTGCCATACATTTTTTTATTGAGAGGTGGGATTTTTGATAATTTTGGAATCAGAGAATGATGAACAAGAATGGACTTCATTCAGTGATGCCCAATAGTGCATTGAAGAAATTTGGGGTTAGTGGCTTGCCACACTTTTCTCCCATTAAAATTATGGCTCATTTCCTTTGTGATCCTGTTCATAATAAGGCCAATTTCTTACAGTAGGTTTGTTTTCACTGATCCCCACTAAAATATATATTTTTCCACATTCTGTTATGCCCATTTTTTTACCCAAACCAACAACCACAAAATTAACAACTATTATTCTTGGACTTACCTGCAGTGAATAACGATCGGTCCTGCATCAGGAGGTGTAGAAGCTTTGACTCTGCGTATGAATGCCAGCAGCCCAGTGGCATGGTAAGGTACCCCATGTTCTGGCCATGATGTGAAGTGGAACTGCTTAACTTCGTGCCTTGCTGAATAACCCCTCTGCAAGTAATGAGAGTGAGATGTCACAAAGTGAGGACTATCCTATACATGGTATAGTCGTTAAAGGCACCAGGCTAGAAACTGGGAGACTTTGAGTTCTAGTCCTGCCTTAGACACAAAGCCAGCTGGGTGACTGAGCCAGTTTCTCAGCCCTAAGAAGGCAGTAGCAAACCACTTCTGAAAATGTTGCAAAGAGAACTGCATGGAATTGTCCGTGTGGTTGCCAGGAGTCAAGACTGACTCAGACACACAGGGAGGGGGGGGACTAGTGTTCTAATTCTCTGTGCTGTTGGTGCCCAGAGCAGCCAGTAGTTGACCTGAGGCTTGTTTTCTATTTATTTTTATTGATTGATTGATTGATTGATTGATTGATTGATTGCCTCCAGGTCAGTTTTTGACTCCTGATGATTGCCTGGATGAGTCCCTATAGTTTTCTTGGCAAGGTTTCGGAAGTGGTTCGCCATTGCCCAAGGTCACCTGGCTGGCTTTGTGCCTAAGGCGGGACTGGAACTCACAGTCTTCTGGTTTCCAGCCTGATGTCTTAACTACTACACCAAACTGGCTCTCTGAGCCATATTCCTCCTTTAATTAGGATATTCCAGTCATTCTACTCTTCCAGTTCATACCAGTATAAGTTCATGGTGTACCTACAAACAGCTTCCTACTCTTCCAGGTAATACCAGTGTAAGTTCAGAGTGTACCTACAAACAGCTTGCCTTGATCACAATCAGCAAAGCACATTAAGAAAAAGGAAATCTATCTCAACCATAGGACTTTTCACAATCAAATAGAAAGCAAGATATTTAGTAGGATCCAGCAGATTGGAATTGCCAGCTTTTTAAATCCAGAAATAAAATTAAATTCACAGTGAACAAAGTTAACTACTGCTACAAAAAATTGTCCAATACACTCTAAATTAAGTTTCTCTTGGTTAATTATCAAAGGCAAATGAAGTTCTGGTTGCTGATGCAAAGGAAACCGTCTGGTGTTTTCTAGCTTCACCTGTGGCAAGTGTAATTATGGATGCTACAATTTACTTGTGATGACAGGCAGTAGAGTACCAGCACATTATTGCATTGAATCCGGCACGAAAGAATGGAACATGTCATGCCTTCACTTTGGGGGATACCATCCAGAAAACAGGTGCTTTCTTCTTATTGTAGCCTCTCAAACAGAATCAGGGAAATTTGGGGAGATGGTTAATCTGGTACACCAGATTGAGGTGAGGATTTGAGAGCAAGGAAGAGAACCAGGTGAACCCTCCTGAGCTCATTGGAGGAAAACTGGAACAAGAAATACAACAATACAAAGAAATACAACAATGAATTAACTTCAGTCACAAAAATGGGCTTATTGCAGGACTGAAGGTTGTGCTCTCTGTTCTGTGTTGTGCATTGGATCCAAATCACTTATCATTACTATGATAGAATGCATTCTTGTTGAGCTGCTGTCATGCAGATTTAATATGCTCAGAAGACTACTCGCTTCTAGGTTTCCTCATTACTAGATTCAATAGTTCTGATGGAGAAGTCCCAGATCCCTGATTAAGGGCTCCTTCTACTGAAAACTACAGTAAATACCTTGGAATGATTACAAGGCAACTAGATCCCTGAGGCTCTTTGGTACTTCAGTTGAAACAAGGTTGTCATTTAACATTCTTCCAGATTAAGGAGAGGGGGGTGAATTACAATTGTGGTTATCCCAAGGTTGAGCAATTACAATTGCTCAATAATTGCATGAACCTTTCAACCCCTCACGACAAGATAAAAATGATTATCCATTCCCTGTACAATTAATATGGTGCTTAGACTCAAATTAATCCATCAAGAATGACCATGTGAATAAAGGGCTACTCTACAATATTATTTGCTAAGACAATGACCTTCGATGGAGTATCTAAAAACTACACAAGAAGGCTCAGATGATAAGATACTGAGGATCAACATGAAATGTTAATACTTTAAAATGCTGCATTGGAAGGTCTGGGCCACTTCAAGCAGTCCAAGATCCTGTTATGCTGTGATGTAATTATCCACCATCTTGGGATGTTTAAAAGTGAACAAAATGGTGTTAAAGCCATGGGATAGACCTAATACACCTAAAACAGCAGGAAAGAAGAAAGAAAGGTAAGTAGGAAGAAGGAAGAGAATTAGCAAGTATCCTGGGAAATTTGTAAGTAATATAGGATTTTAAAGATGCATTTCAGTTAAGCTTAATTCCTAGTGCCTACATGGACCCAATCATGCAGTTTTCTTGGCAGCAATATGAAAGTGGTGAATTCCTTCTTCCAGGAATGTTTTCTTGAGTTCCCAGTTTAGCTTACAGCCCTGGAATTTCCTAGTGGTTTCCTAATGGTCTGCTACCCAAATACTGCCCAGATCTGACCTACTTAGCTTAGACCAGGTAAGTCTACCAAGCTTCTGCCATTCACTGAGATACCCTGGCAGTCAATGTCAGGCCCAGCCCAAGAACAACAGGAAAACAGTCCAACTGAGTTCAGTCCTTTTATTGCTTACACCATACAGACAAAATCTTGCTAGACTAACCTGTACTATTGCAACTAGTGGATATACCCTGGAAGATTCTAGGGAGTAGCTATTCTAAACTTCTTACACTTCCCACGCTCCTTCTCCAGACTGTGTTGTCTCCTGTCTCTCTAACCTTCCTGGAATGTGCCTCCTCCTTCCTGAGAACCTTGCTCTCTCCTGCAATTCACCACATCACACCCCCTCCCCTTCGTAGATACATTCCATCACAGTCAATGACTAGCTGCATTTACCATGGAAGTCATTCTGTGAACAGAAAAAGCTCTCATGATAGCCCTTCTATAAGGGTTATAAGTCTCTCAAAACTCCAGATGTGTTCACTGGACCAAGAATGGTTTGTCTGTTTTACATTAAACCTTTCCTTCTTGTAAGCTTTTACATTAAACCTTTGGTTCTTGCAATCCTTTCAAGGGGAAGGGTTTGGCAAGACAGCTATCCCACAATTGAATGATCCCTGGCTGGAGAAAGAACATGACTGATGCAAGATCTCCAAGTATCAGTTTGAATAAAGAAAATGTGTTTCTTGACATTTCATTAATTTCATTTTATTATGGTTGCAGGACCATCATTATCAAAAGGGTATATATTCAATACGGTATTTAAAAGGTAAGAAATAAAATATATTGAATAAAATTATAACTGAATTAAAACTAAAGGGGTAAGAACCATGGCAACCCACTGACTGCATTCAGCACTGGACAATCAGTCATCTTTGAAGATCACAATCTAGCACAAAACATAGCAAATCTTATAGGAGTGATGGATGTCTATCTGCTAAAATACATAAAAGTCATCAGTGTACCCTGAGAGTTCAACTAGTAGGTGGACAGTAAGAGTAGTCCTACTGTCATTTTAAACACCATAGAAAAAAGTGGGCTATGGATTCTACTCGATCAAACGCACAAGGGCAGATACAATCCTTCAGTGGTATGTTTTGGACCCCCCCCCCCATTCCATCGCTATTGGCAACACATCAAAACAAGCTAATAAAAATAGCCTTCTCAACTTCTGAGGCACAAGATCACAAATTAGACTCTGGAGCCCAATAGTCATAACTGTCCTATCAAATCTACATACACAATCCATTTTTCTAGCGTTGCTAAATCCCAGAGATGCTAAGCAACTAGGGAAGAGACCAAATCTTACCAATTTATCCATATCAAGAAGCTACCCATTTAAACAGAAAAATAAGTATGGCTAGGTTTCCTGCTAAAAATAATCATTTAAGTAGATAACAAACACCATAATCCAGGCTGTAGCTTCCCAGAAGCCTGCTCTGCTTCCAAGTAAGTATGGTATTTGCAACACATCTTGGAGAAGAATAGAGCATTCAGAGAAATTTGTTTTGACAACCTCTAGCTTCTTTTCTAAACATAACCCCGTACAACAAAAGCAGTAAGCCTATGGCATTAAAAACTTTTAGCGCTAAAGCAGTATGGAAACCACCAGCTCTATGATCAAATTTCAAGTTGGCAAAGGCAGTGTTTTCAGCATTATTCATTACATATGGCAATTGTGCATTCCACAGTCTTGAGGCATGAAAAATTACTCCCAATATTGATGACATTCCCCTTGCTCTACTGCCTGTCTGTTAATCTGCCACCTGCGTTTAATCAGTCACTTGGCAAGCACTATAACCTTAATTTTAGAGTAGTTCATATTCAACTTATCTTCTATATAATAGGAAACTAGAGCCCTTAACAATCTCCTCAGTCCACTTATGTCTGTGAAATTAAAAAAACAAAATTAGAGAGTGGTTAGCCTGCTAGCCAAGTTGGGTGATAATACTTCTGCAAAGAGGCAAGATGTGTAATTAAAGGATTGGTATATATGTTAAATAACCATGGGTCTAACAAGCAATCTTGCTTGACACCTTTTCAGTTAGGGATCCTGTCTGATACCTGGCCTTGGTTATTACATCCAGATATCAACAGACAAATTATGTATTAATAGAAGGAGGCATGTATCAATGCTAGTCTGCTGTGGTTTCTCTCTTTTGAGCGGGAATCAAATGTTGACTTGAAATCTACAAAGACAGAAAATATCTGTATGTTTTGTACATCTGTGCATATCTCCTTGTAGCAGAGAGCTCTGCCTTTTTCACTAGATGGCTTAGAACCAAACTCTGATTGAGTGTTGACAAACTTTTTCAAAGCCCACTTACTTGTCTGCTAAGATGCTTTTCTGTCCTATTTGTCATTTCAGGCATCACATTTGCCTCCTGTTACTAAGTAAACTAATAGAGGGACAATTAGATTAGATCTCCCCTACCCCTTTCTGATGAATAGCAACAGTAATTGCTAACCTCCAACCTTCAGGTAGGATAATAGTATGTTTTATGACAGTAAAAATGTAGCTAATGCAGGAGCCCACAACTCCACAACTGCTGGAAACATTGTGTGGGAGTCAAGCCATAATCAGGGGCTTTGCCCGGCTTAAGTTGCTTACAGCAGTATTTCTCAACCTCAGTCACTTTAAAATGTATAGACTTCAACTCCCAGAATTCCCCACCCAGCATGCTGGCCAGGAAATGGTCAGTCTTGTGAGGTAATCCAGACAAGAAGTACAGCCAGATGAACTAATTCTACTTTATTTTAAGGTTACATTAACAGAATCTTGCAAGTCTGAAAGTATGTTTCTCTCCCGTTGCCTTTACAGCCCAAGAAACTAGGGAGGGTCCCTTCTGAAATGTTTGCCATGCCCCCATTCCTGCTGCACTGAGGCTCTTCCCCCTGTTTCCCAAAGCCATTGGCAGAATTACAGGAATTCTGGGAATTGAAGTCCACACTTCTTAAAGTTACTAAGACTGAGAAACACTGGTTTTGAGGCACCACCTTGCAGATTTATTTATGATTAGGCTCCCTTATATTCAAGCTCCCAATTCTCTGTCAAAATATCTTTTTTTTAAAGATATTTTAAAGGGGGTTGTTAATTACCTGCTGCTAGGCATACATCAGGGCTTCCTTTTAATCAATTTTTTTTAAAAAACTGGTGTTTTTGAATAAAACAAGAGATGGGAGTAGATGGCAATCCTGATATCAAAGCTCCTAAACTACCCTGACTGGAGAAAGAACATGGATGATGTAGCATATTTTTGTGAGCCACCTAGAGTTATTATATGGGATAGGCATCCATATAAGTCCTGTAAATAACTTAAATAAACAAATGTCCAAGTATTAACTTGGATAAAGAAAACCAAGTTTACAGACAGAATGGTATCCTTGCAAGAGAGGAGATCTTACCCTTTCCAAAGTGAATGTCCTCACCACGTATTCTGCCAGCGTCTCTGATTTCACCTGGGTAATTTTAATGTCTCCGTACATCTCTGAGTCATCTGGCCAATATTTGGCACACTTAACCTGCATGCAACAACAGATTATGATAAGTCTATCATGGAAGAGGCAAGCATCATCTGGGGCCACCGGTGAAGAGGAAACCAAGAGTCATCTCTTACCCTTCCCACTTCTACCAACTTTGTTATCATCACTATGCTGGAACAGTGCTCCTGCCACACCATCCGCCAGAAATCATAGATCATCTCCTGTTTGGGGCCTAGAGTACAGAGAAAATCCAAAAAAGATTGCAACAGAAATAAAGAAAGTCAGGGACCCATGTAAATACCATGGCAATTTTACCCAATATGAAATCTCAGAGCAGCTTCAGATATTTTGTAATGCGCTGAGGAAGCCAGAACATGAAATACCTTGGGCACATCTTGGTATACATATGGGCACACCTCTTCGTGTGCTGCTTCTCTCCATACATGCTGAAAATGGGAAAGGGGAAAAAGGAGAAAGCACGCTAAAAACCAATGCCCAAGAAGTAGGTAAGAAAGTCTTACCTTGTGTGGCTATGAAGTGGTTGGATCTTTGGTAACCCTGTAAAGAAAAAAAAAATGCATTCTAGTTCTGGAAGGAGGGAGGGAAGGATTGTAATATTTTGTGCATTTCTATAAGCCCCAAGATCTGCTACTCTGAAAGCTGAATTTAGCAACCTCCTGCTTTTCTCCTGCAACAGTTATTCCAAAATCTACACACTATTGAAGTGGGGGACACGCAGGGAAGATAATGTTGATTTCACTTCAAGCAGTGTATCTCAACCAAACATCCTCCTAAATCCTTCATCTGCCCTAAGTGACATTCATAGCTTCCATGTCCCACTACAGAACTGAGTTGATATTTCCAAACAACCTCCCCAATGTACATTTTTTCATATTTGTTTGTGCTGTTCACATCCAATACATATCCATTGGCTGTTTCTTTGCAACCATCTGTCTTTCTCTTTTATACAGAGGTAGGCACTTCCTCCTCCTCACATCACAGTGACAGCCAAAAGCCATTTAATAAAGCCAGAACGGCTTGCTCTGAGGTCCAATAAATAGCTCATCAATTTCACCCTAGAAAAGCAGGGAGGAAATGCATGTTGCTGTTAGGAAAGCAACATGGACATCTTTCTCATGGCAGCATTTTCTAGGCTGAGGTGGACAACCGGAAGCTCTAAAGCTGCAAGAACCCTCCCAAAAAGTCCTGGGCATAAACTTTCCCTCCCAGAGTTTCTACAAAAATTACTACTAAATAACAACTTGCAATGTGACAAAGAGAGAAATGATTAAATACACAGTAGGGGTGTAAATCTCTTAGCTATATGAAAACAAGCAAGATCAAATATAATTATTGTTCTGGGTCAACTCACCACTTTAGGGAGCGGGGCTACTACCCTGCCATCCAAATGCTGTCTCTGACCCAAAGTTGCACACCCCTGTTCTAGCAAGCAAGGAAATGTTTTCAAACCATGGCCATCCATGCATGGCTCTACTGAACACAGAGCTTTGACATACTGAACTGTAGATCACCTCTAGGGCAAGCGTATGCATTCTTCCCAGGACACAAGGGCTATCTGGATGAGTGATTAAAGGCAGCAAGAAATCACAGCTCAAGGACACTGCACGTAGCACCGCAACACACAGAAGTCACAGAGCCCCAAGCAACCTCTATGAATGCTCTCCTTCTTCTCAGCCATTTAACGCACATACAGCTAACTCCTGATTGGGAAGCCCAAAGATCAGAGACAGATGGAAAAGGGCCAATAAAGAACAGCACATCAGGAAGGACTTGATTTCCCATACCGTCTGCACTCTCCCATGTTCTACCATCTTTGGTAAGAAGCAGGATCTGGAAAAATAAACAGCCAGATCTCTACTGTTTGCTCTCAGTTACTATGGAAAAGGAGATGTCTTGCTAGGAGGCAAAGGCAAGAGCAAGAGAAAAGTTATCACAGAAGAGCTTTTGAATAAATATTAAGGAAGCTTCAGGCAAAAGGGGGAGGGGTTGCTTACCATTTGGGGTTTAGCATTTCTGAATTGCTAACATCAAGAGCGCGCAAACATTTTTATTAGTTAATACTAATTTTACAAACTACTACCTTTTCAATTTAGAACTTTCCATGATTATGAACACCTTTAAGTGCATGTACATTTGTGCTTAAAAAAAGTACAAATGAAAGTGAAAGAGTTGTTAAAAGTCATTACAATTGTACAACTACAAACGTTTCAGTTTGAATGTCTGGGGGGATATTTGTGGAGGCTGATACATATATGGCATGAGAATTAAGGATGTTAATAATATACTGTGAGTAAAATGTACCAGAACAGGTAAAACTAAGCAGTCAGTTATCGATGGCTGGTGTGGGTCTTCCGGGCTGTGTGGCTGTGTTCTGGAAGTTTTGTTTCTGGGCACAGAGAGAACTGCTCCTGTCTGTGCTCCTGCTCTCTGAAGATGCCGGTCACAG